GTGTGTGTACACAACCACCCTATAATGATAAAAATCCACTCAGTGTTTTTTTTTTTTAATCTGCTCAAATCTTTACCCCTTTCTCAAATCGAGCCGATCTCAGGCCCCTCCCACGATAGTCTGATTGACAGTAGCATTTCAGCACAGACTGGACTGGCGTCTTACCTTAGATCCACCCTGAGTGAGCGGTCTTCAGCTTCACCATTGTTTCACCGCCGGAGCAGATGTAGACAAGAATTACTCATAACAAGCGATTGAGGTGTTCTGTTGTTGGATGTACTAATGAACATAGCAGTCGTCATTTACTCCCGATATTTGAGCCGCTGAACTCGCAGTGGATTTTGTTTGTTTCTGAAGGGAATGCTCCCCCGATCTGCCTAAATGCGTCTATGTTCGCGCGAATCATTCATGATCCAGTCTCATCTACAGAAGAAGTGAGTATAATGCTTTGTAATGAATCTTTGCAAATCGCCTTTCCTAATAATGTGCTAATTAGCAAGTTTCACGATGAACGCGGCTAAAGTAAACGGTCTCTCTGAGAGCAGCTCGGAAGAGAGGGGCGGGGGCAGCAGGGGGCGGGGTCAGCAGAGCTCATTAACATTTAAAGGGAAATGCTACAAAAACGGCTTCATCTGATAAGAGCTGTTTTTGACAGGGTAAAAAAAGGTGTTTTTACACTACCATTGAGAAATTTTAACCAAACTATGTTACAGACTTTTCATTAAGACCCAAAAGAATCATATCAACTTGTGGAAAATGGGCATCATATGACCCCAAATATCCTGCAGAAACCCTGGTCTGGTAAAAACGGTCAATTTATGTTTTAAGGTAGGCCAATATAATTGTCCGGACCTTGGCTGGTGAGGAGGGTTCATTACTGGACCTCAAGCAATTTTAGTTGAAGACCCCTGCTCTAGATTAACCTTACTGACAAACAGACAGTGTGGAGCGAAGGGCAAACTCTCTGCTTCATCTGTCATGAGGTTGTTTGTCCCACTGATAAGAACACAGAAATAATGCTCTGAACACAGATGACTAACAAACAGCTCATTGATTATAGAAGATGATTACAGAAAAGGAATGCAAAATCTGAGATGGTGAAACACCACGGACAACATCCCCCGAATAAACAGATCCAGCTCATGAAGACTAAGTACAAGTGCTCTAATTAAGCTCTCAAAGAGAGTTTTGCTGACAGAAATTTAATCAATCTTGAAGACTCCACTTTTGTTGTTTCACTGTACTTCCTGATGTTAGCAGTGCTGTCGTACACTGCAATGATAATGAGAATCACTTTGAGATCCTTAAAGTCAATTTGAATTGGCTCTAACAAACCATTTACTTCTGTTAAACAGTTGAAAACAGATGTGTTGCTTAATGTTTTTGTGGAAACAATGATACATCAGGATGCTTTGATGAATAGAAAGTTCAAAAGAACATCATTTATTTTTTGAACAATTATAAATGTCGTTACTGTCATCTTTAGTCCGTTTATTATGTCGCTGCTGAATAAAAGTATTAATAAAAATAAAACAAATTAATTAAACAATGTTAAATTAAGCCTATTTCCAACAGTATACTAAAAGTTAGGGTGGGAATTGATTAGATGGTGAAAAGGGTGGTATTTCGTACCTCAATGTAACCAGATGCAATGTGAGTTTGCTAAAACAATGACTAATCAGATATTTGGCTATTGGCTACTATTTTATCCAATAGCCCACACAAGTGACACCAGCATTACAAAAATGTTTAAGAGGAAAAACAAGGTATAACATTTTGATTAAATATTACAAAGAATAACATGCACAAATTAATTATTCACAACAAGACCAGGAAGTGAATTAAGAAAGTAAATAGAGTTCATTTTGATTTCATGTTGACTTTAAGGTGTATTGTAAAGAGATTAACAAAAGAATCAGCACTGTGCTGCTGTGACTCACCATGAAATGGGGCTGGGTTAGAATCCGTCTCAGTTCTTTAGCGTCTGCATTCTCCGGGTAGCATGAAATCTCCTCCAGTACCTACAGACAGACAGAGTCTTCAGGATTTTCCTCAAACTGTCATCTCCATGATATATATTTCTTAAAGCAAGTAAAGATGTTGCTTTTTAATCTTGTACACTGCAACACAACTTTGAGCTGGACTGCTGAGACCCCACACATCATATATCAGAAGAGACACACACACGCAAACATTTCTGGCATGACCCTTAGACCCCATGTGACCAATCAGCACTGCTGCCTGGTCTCATTTGGCCCTTCCATTGGCGGGGTGGGACGGGTCAGGTAGGAGGGGGTGATTTGTCACAGTACTGCAGATATGTCATAACTCCCTGCTGAATGCTGCTGAGCGCCAGATCCTGAACGTCTTTTGAACCACACTAATCATCTCTAATGAGCTCGAATCAATGTTCAAACCAATCCTGGCAGCCCCTCACTGCCAGTCAACATCACTAAATGTAAAGCTCAGACATTTACAAGAATCCTAGAAATTTCCACATGTTCTACAAAAGTGGTAAAAATAAGTGGACATAAGATTGGGAAAATATCTGCATCTTACATATTCCAGATGTTTCAAAGCCGTGCTCGACCAATCTTCTGCGTATGTCTTAGCATGAGAGACACACACAGGAAAGTTTTATAACATTTTATACATATAGTCTGTGTAAAAGAAGCAGCAGAGTCGCAAGCTGAATTTTTGGAGATAGGCACTACGCCGCCTCTGCAAGTTTCAGTCTCTCAGGGAAAACAGTGAGAGGTGATGGGTTAGTTTCCGCCCCGCTGGCTCTAAGCAATACAAAGAGGATAATCCTTAAGCATTTCACCATTGCCAGTGATCACAAGCAAGAGGACAAGAAGGGTTTTCGAGAGCACAGCTATTTAATCACCAGCAGGCCTGAGTTCCTTTTTGATGTGCATTACTAAAGGAAATGGTTGAGCTTTATAGGTTGTGTGACTTGTGACTGACTGAGACAGACTTGTTTTAGAGGGGTCAGGACCAAGAGGACCACTGAGGGTGTTTGAGACCAAAAACAACCATCAAGACTAGTTTGAATCTTACTATTTTTATCTTAGAGTATGCAGATGGTCTAAACTATTCAAACTAAAATTACTTTCACTTCTTTATGGGAACTTAGCACATTTGTTTGATCAAGCTTATCTGAAGCACCAAGCTAGGATTTGTTGACATATTCAAAATACTCGGAATGCTTCTGTTGACGCAACTGCTATATGATAAGTCATTATCAGTTTTGATTCACTAACTTTTAGTCAACATGAAACAACAACTTCAAGTAAAAATTTACTATATGGGGACTTGTGGAGGACTAATCCCTTCTTTAAAAAACTCACTTTACGTTTAATATCACTTTTCAAGTTGTGATGCAATGAAAGTAGTGACAGATGGGGTGGGGACTTGGTTCTATGCATAGGATTTTGATTGGATTTTGAGATGTGGGTGTTGCATTCAAAAATAAATGCAAACTTAGATTGAGGAGGGGCGGGTTTTACATGGACTAAATGATTGGAGAAGTTTGACATACGTAACCAGAGAACATGTTGTTTCACCTGAAGTTTGAGTGTTTTTAAATTAAACATTATGTGGTCAAATTAAAAAAAATATACATGAATAATTTACAATAAGATCAATAACATACATTTACAAAATAGATTGCTACATCAATTGCTTATGAGAAATGCTAGATCAATGTCTTTTAAGTTTTTAGATCCAGCAAGGGATTTTTTTAAAATGCTTGTTAAATTACTAGACATTGGGATTAAAGGATAGCTTGCGCCTATATCTTAATTTAGTGTGTTAAGGACAAAACAGAACCATTGGCATATTCTATTCACTGTTTGTGTTCTTAGTGAGGATTTTAACTGGTTTCTGTGCAAATGAAGAGAGCAAAACGCTTCAGTCAACATTGAGGCAACCACACCAACAGCCCGATAAGCTCACCAAACTAAATGCATTTTCACTCTCAAATTTACTTTCATGTAATTTGAGAAGTGTCATGTCAGTCTGCTCTCATCAAGCTTCCACACTTGCGTATGAACGGCGATAAAAGAGCTGCTTTGTCCAAAACCACACAGTCATTATTTTGTTATTCTATATTTTTTCTAATCTACTCCGTAGGTAAAAGCAAACAAAGACATTCACTTGTTAATGTGGCTTTATAAATGCAACTGGTTTAAATGCCTTATAATGCACCAGGAGGAAAACAGGCAATATACCACTAGGGATCTGTAAATGTCACATAAATCATAAAATTCTTAAGAGGCATTGAGTACAAAACAGACCTCTGTTTGAGGCTTTCTGTTAAACTACATAAAATCATGTGACCGTCTGCTTTCTTAAAAAAACAAACAAAAACAAAAAAACAGATATGAACAGACATGGTATAGAGTAAAAAAAGACAAACTGGTCCATAACGACTTAATGACCACAAATAAATACCTCAAAGAAAAATGACTATAACTGATTTGCTATTTGAAAAGCTAAAATTTGTGGGACCATCATCATCATCTTTTTTTGTTAATAAAATTTACATACAAAGCAAAACATATCATGTTTTTTTTTTTGTTGCATGTAATTAGCTTTTAGTTATGACAATTTAGCATACTTCCTGTTTTATAGATGACTAATTCTTAAAAAAATGATTGTGAACTAAACCACAGTCACAGAGCAGAAGTGAAAAAACCAAGAACGAAATATGCAGTGAGGAAATTCTGTTTCTAGGTAAGCGAAGGAGTGAGTAGGTCATGCAGTGAGTCTTTTCTGAATGTCCTGATGAGCTATATTAAAATGCAAACACAGACTAGACAGAATAGTAGTTAAAAATGAGAACATACACCAAAAATTCTATTTATCATATTTAAGTATTTAAAATGTCATTCTGAATTAACATCCAAGATAGCAGAAATAAGACAAACCATCTAAACATTGTTCCATTCAATTCTGAGTCACATTAACAAACTTTCTTGTTGAATATATTGAAAATAGATATTACATTTAATTTCCCCCCCCCAAAAAATTAGAGATTGTTTAGACCAGTAGAAAAAAAAGTAGTCCTGGTAGAGGTTATTCTTTTAAATCAACGATTAAGTTGAACACTACGATGAAGTTCGATTAAACTTGTGCTAGGAACTTCTTTGACCCTCATAATTTTATAATTACAAAGGCATCTTTCTGTAACTGTAGCCTGCACTCACCTCTTTGGCTCTCTGAACGGCGTCACTTGTAGGACTCCTGATTTGTGGCGAAGACTTGGTGTTTATCTTGTCGTAGAGCTGAAAAAGGGAAAATGGATAAATTAACAATCACAAGATTTATTTGCTCTATTAAAAACATTGCAGCATGCAACGACAGATCAGGATACTTTAAAATTCATCCTTGCTCAAAACAAAATTGAATATTATAATCAATGTTTAATAAAACAATATGTTGGGTAATGTGTTATATTTTGCTTCTTGAGTAGAGGAGAATCAATAAGAAGTGAACCCTTTCTCATCTACACACAGTGCTTTTTTTGATTAGGGCCAACAATTTAACATCACAACTGAACAGCTCTATTGCATGCAACAGGTTATAGTTTCTCCTGCAAAATGTTAATCATAAAAAGGGATGCATAATTAAATACATTTTCATACAGTGATGAGGAATACAGTTCTCAACAGTTTTAATGAATGTATTAACAGATGTTTTCCATGTATCCAGTGTTCTGCAGGTGCTTTCTTCTGCACATCAGTCAGCTTCAGCATGTTGTGAGTTACTTGAAAATAAATGTTCTTGCAATCCACATCCGTTAATACGTGGTTCTTCAGAGACTTAGCTTGAGTACCAACCCTTATAGGACAAACCAGGTCACAGGAAAAATACCACACACATCTATAACACATGCATGGTATGCTATTTATGAGTGCTGTGCACAGGGTATCAGTTCTTTATACATCTTAATCTGCATTTCACAACATGACACAAACAGAACAGAACTTTCAGGGTAACACGGAGCGAAAAATTGCTACATCTCCAGCAACAAGGAATATGCTTACTAAAGAAAGTGTCTGGCTAAGAAAATACCCCAGGTTACTCACCACATCAAAAGAAGAACCAACCAAAACCAAAGTTAAACTCCAGACAAAGTTGGTCCTGATAGGATCTCAACCTTTCTGTCTTCTGTTTCATGAATGTAGAGTTACACACAGAGCTTGAATAGAGAGGATGGCAAAGTCTTAACGTGTGGAGCAGCTCTTCTGATAGACAGATACTGCTGGAGCTGCAACAGTGAAAAATCATGAAGGCTGACAATAGGTGCTATTGTTTCCTTCCCTATTCAGGGTAGGAGTTGAGTTCTCAATGGGACGACGTGCATTCACAGCCTCCTGGTGATAATCTTACCCACAGAGCACTGGCATAAGGGGCGTGCCCTCCTCTCTGCTTTCCTCTGGCCTGTAGCTATGGAGACAGGCCCTATCATCCACACTGGATTGTACCGAGCTGTACGCCTCTCTATAGAGGCCTTGGTACACACACACAAACATAGAGAAAGCAGGGAGAGTCCACAGCTGCACTTATTCACACAGACAAATACCGCAAAAAGCCATAATACTGAAAGACTCGTGCGACGTGTGTGCTTGGACAAGCATTGAAAGATGCAATGAATGAACAAAGAACAATGAATGAACAAATCCATTGAGTTCTCAAATAAACAAAAAAGATGAGACTGAAAATTCTGAAATTGGTCTACTGACATTTGTGAATTAATCAGTTGAGGTACCCAGAAAAAAAAAGAAAAAAAACCTTTAAGTTAGCTATGGCTAATTATTTCAAGTAGATCGATATCTTTAGCATGGAGGGCTTTTTGTTTGGGTGGTGGAAGGCTAATGATTAAGGCAGTAGGCTGTTAGCAGCTCACTGCGGAGGTCACCAAGATCAATTCTGCATTAATACTGGTGTGAAATTAGTTTATTGTAAGATGATTTGGCTAAAAACTGTTTGCTAAACGTTAAGAAACTAAATCCAATCTGCGTAGACAGGTCATTGCATAGCCAAAATTATGACTAATTTTAAATTAGTGACATACGTCAAATAATGTGACATTTTCTTTTAACAAATTCAAAACAAGATAATCAAAGCAAGATTTAACAGCATCTCAACACATCAGATTCTGTGGTTTAATGAAGGAAGAATTTTATTGGTGTGAATATGTTTGTGTCTGCCTGTATGTTACAGTCTCTTACATCAAGCAATGTGTGGAGGTGATGGTCCTGGAAGACGCTGTGAAGAAAGTCCAGGTCTTTCTCACTGCAGTCAGTCAGCGCATGGATTTCCTCCAAACTGTCTAGCACTTGTGACACAGCCCCTTTACATGTACACACAAACACAATTGACCACACACAGTGACCTTTAAATACCCAGGAAAAGCATTAACTTGATTTGAAAGTAGCAGGCAAACACTTTGTAAGGAGACAGACGGTGACACCTACTTTCCGCTGCTAGTAGTCCTGCAGGGTGGCCAGCATAGAAACAAGCAACAAGCATAATTTAACAATAGAAAGATGATTGTGATATGAATAGAGATAGGATTCACCCACACTCTCAAAACAATCAGTTAGAGAAGTTTGAGAATAACAACTTCTGCACGTTCAAATAATTTCCCCAGTACACTATCAAAAATTGTGACACATTAAACATTAAAGTGTTGCAGAAAAAATGGAAAGTTACCAAAGATGATATGAGAAATAAACAGGAAACATGAACCAGATTCTAAACCAAACCATTTGTGTTTTGTTTGGGAGTATGTGAAATGTACACTGTAAGGTCTATTTAAACAAGCCACAAGAAAAACATCTCTGTGATGGCTGCTTAAAAAGAAATAATTTTTCACTTTCTTGGAAAATTTTTATGGCGTATCCTATGCAGAGCTCCCCAGCATGATAAAAGGGTGTTGTGGGTAGTTGTCAGGGCATTGTAAACAGTTCCTAGGGCATTTGCTCACTGGTTCAAGTCAAAAGAGCCCACCCTAAATTTTTATGATATTCTCATCCCCCTGCTCAGGTCTCTCTCTCTCAGTGTAATTGTGTGTAATTTTTTTTTGTCTATTTTATTGTCTGCCTGGCTTTTTTTTTTTTAATTGTAGGCCATACTGACTGTGATGCTTGTCTTAGCATGCTACCAACAAGCTTCATCTTTTTCTCTGTCAGAATGATATCATCAAAGTAACCAAAACACTGTGATGAGAGACTACAAATCACAAAAAACATCTCTTCAGGAAGACAGAGTGGGTGGAAGCTGATGTTGCATCTCTGCTGGTTGCTGTAGTACCTGATGAAGTAGGGTCCTCAGAGAAGTCAGGCAGTTCTTCTGGTGGGTCACCATAGAAAGAGCTGAACTTGTGACTGGAGACTGCGGCAAGCACTGCGCCCTGTCAAACCATATAGATATTAATCAACTCATGTACTGCAATTTCCTGCCCTAATTTTTATTTGTGGTCTTTATTTTACACTCCAGAACATCCAGGTGAATCATGCATGAGAACAGCTGCTAAAGCAATATGCAGAGATCGTAAAGTGCTGATGGCTCACTTTTAGCTTCCTCCTGGCATTGAACTTCCTCAGCTGCTCCACTGTCTCAGGAAGGTGGATCTTGTAGGCATAGCGGTCTCTCTCCTAAAAGGAAACGCACAATTCAAATGGTGCTTATTCATCTCATTAAGGAATGATATCTTAAGTCCATAAAGACCTCAAAGCTGGAAAATAATATCCAATTAGTGAAACAGTCTGTATGGTTTTAATAATAATAACAATAATAATAAAACATTATATTTACATATATTTTGTTTCTCTTTGAATTTTTTCATATTTCATTTTTTAAATAATTTTATTTACATATAGCAAACAGATTAATACATGAAAAAACATCAGTAAGATCAGTGAGCAGATGTTTCTTGAGTGCTGTTGATACCTTGAGCCAGGGATGGTTTAGTGTGTTCCCGTTTCGATAAACAATGAAGAAATACTCCCCTTTATTAAATTGATTTGAACTTAAACATAAAATCTAGACAGGATATTTAAGTGGAGTATTGTTGTTTGTAGTCTCTGTATGGGCAATTATCAAAGCTCAACAAGTGGAATATTAATGAGTGAAACATTGTCAAAATAAGATAATAATATTATATTTAAAATTTTAATTGTTCAACAGCCCTCATCTATGTGTTTCGGTGATCACGGGATGTAAGGTGGAGTTTAAATGTGGTTTTGAGACACGCACTCCCCCTTTAAAAGTGCCTGCAAACTTTGTTTTAATGCTAACTGGTGCACAGCTGTGCTTTGAGGTAAGCAAGAGTTTAGAGGAACTAAAAAAGGAAGAGCTTTTTCAAAAAGGAAGTTCGCAAAGACAGATCTGAATTGAGATTAGACCGAGACATTCAAAAAGAAACAACAGAGAAGTTCTCTGATGGACAGAATTCACAAGGTAAGTTACTCTCCAATACCTAAGTGTGCATCAGACATTCTGTTGCATTTCAAGGTATTAAAACTTAATGTCTTTGGTAAGCATTATAATGACATCTGCAATTTTTTTTCCTAAGGTCTGATATATACACATGCAATGACAAAAAAACAATCCTCAATTTTTTCCCATTGTGTCGCCGACCACCATGTCGAAAACTCCACCGCCAAACTGCCAGACAGACAACACCAGCTTGCAGGTCCCGCTGGCTATTTTCTATGCACTCTTCTTCCTGTTCGGGTTGTCTGGAAACCTGCTGGCTCTCTGGGTGTTTCTGCGAGTACATCCAAAGAAAAACTCTGTTTGCATTTTCCTCATTAACCTGGCTCTGGCTGATGTACTCCTTGTGATCTGCCTGCCTTTCCGAGTGGTGTACCATTCCAACAATGACCGGTGGGTGCTGCCGCCATTATTGTGCACGATGGTGGGCATTATCTTTTACATGTACATTAGTATAGTCTTACTGGGCTTCATAAGTGTAGATCGTTATTTGAAGTTCCAGAGGTCGTCCTGTAGGCGGGTGTTCCTGCATAGCCGATGGAGCGTGCTTTTCTGCGGTGTCATCTGGGCTGTGGCATTTGTTTGTGGCATTTGCTTCACTGTCCTGAATACAGAGCATGGTGAATCCCAACAGTGCTTCCAATACAAAAACCTGTATAAATCCAAATGGAAAGCCTATTTCAACTTTGCCATCGTGGGTATGTTTTGGCTGGTCTATGGCGCGTTGGTAATCTCCTACGGAAGGATCGGAATGAACCTTCTAACAGCCTCCAAAGAGAAACCAGATTTCCCAAATGCTGCCAAGTACAACAAAACAGCATGGAAGTCCTTCTTTGTGCTCTTTCTCTTCACAATATGTTTTGTGCCCTACCACTCTGTAAGGATTTTCTAGATCATGTCACAGATAACAAAAGACACCTCTTGCGAGTGGATAAGTGTGTTGGATAAAACCAATGAAGTAGTTCTGCTACTGTCTGCCTTTAATAGCTGTCTGGATCCAGTCATGTACTTTTTGTTCTGTAGTTCTATTCGCAAAGTGATGCTGAAGATAATCTGTAATAGCTTTTGTCAGCAAAACGCCAGAGGATTGAACAGTTCTAGTGACACTCCACAAGAGCTACCAAATATCAGTGCAGTTGTGCCTATGACAAACGCTCAGGACGTCAAACTATCAAAAACACCAGCAACAGATAAAGGGGTGCTATGAGAGTTCTTAAAACATATAAACCATGTCCAAAGACACAGCAAAGTTTATTATTATTATTATTATTATTATTATGCAAGTAAAGAATGTGACAATATTTACATGTGCACAGCCAAGTTAAAGGAAAGTTAAAAGAAAAGCAGTATTGTGTTGTGAACAGTGCATTTACTTTCGGTAGAAACACTATAAATAAAAGTTACATTAATACATTTTACAGAATTATCATACAAAAATAATTAACATGCCCTTACTGCATCATGAACTAACAAAGAGAACAACATGTTTAAAGCATTATTAATAAAGCAGTATTAATCTAGAATCTAGAACATTAATAATTTAAAAATGAATTTATAAGTATTATTGTTCATTGTTAATTCATGTTTGTTCATTACACATTAACTAATTTTAATTTATACACCTTCAAATGTTAAAAATGTATTAGTATATTTTAAAAAACTAACATTAATCAATATTAATAAATGCAGTAAAATAATTGTTTACTGTTAGTTCATGACATCTAAGGCATCAGCTAATGTGAACCTTATTGTAAAGTGTTAGTTAACATTACTCCATTTAACTTACGGTGTTGTATAGTGCTGTGTTCGATACATTGATACGACGATGTATCGTCACAGAGATTTGACGATATGAGTATCGATACAGCTGGCCCTGTATCGATATTGTGGAACGTGTGCAGCAGTGGACTACGCTTAATTTAAATACAAGAACAACGTTTAAAATTGAGCAGAAAAGTGCAAGGTTTCTAAAAAAATAATGAATAGCGCATAATATATAGGCTACAACAAGGTTTAATCTGGCCGCAGAGGAACACAACTGCGTTGCCTGATATAAAGAGACGTAATCCCCGAAACAGAGCTTCCCACTTGCGCAATACTGAAATATCTGCTAAATGTGCTACTTATCTTTGTCAACCTGGCAACCCTGTGTACGCACGCTCTCTCCACTGTGGATAAACGCGCTTGCTTTCTGAAAACACTGGTTAGCTTGCAGTTTAGCGATCTCCACTTCAATATTCTATTCTCAGAAAAGTGTAATTCATCAAGTGTTCATTTATGAGAGCGAGAGAGAGGCTTTGTATGTATGAATTACCACCGTTTTGCCGCATTTCTCTATTAACAGTGAAGCTGTGGCTTTAATTCCTGTAGAAACAATGACGCTACCAGCTCCTTGTTGAGAAAGATAATGTAGCTCTTGAGCGATTAAGCTATTAAGTTGATAAAACTGTGGGGGCTAAAAAGTTTGTTCCTGAATGTCTGAGTGATCTGTGTGTGTGACTAAGCATGTGTGTGCGTTAGATACAGAAGACAGCGCATTAGTTTAGAACTCTTCTAATTTTAATTTTAATTTTTTAAACGTACAGAATTCGTTAATTTGTGCAATGATAACCTACCAGCAATGCAAATATGATTTTTTTTAATATTAGAATAAGTACATTACAATATACATTTATTAGAACGAGTACATTATTATTTATGGGCTTAAAAACAAGATGCAAACAATCAGAATATTGTACCTGGTGGGAAGTTCCCAATGTAAACATGAAACATATGCCATTACTATATTGTACTGTGGTACAGTTATGGAGGCACTTCATAATGCAGAGGTCAGCTGCCTGCTCTGCCAATAGTTAGAAATGGCACTATAGTGTGCAGTGTTTAATAAACAGCTGTTTCACTAAATTCTGCTAAGGTGAAATTCAGCGCAGTCCTGTATCGTGATACGCATGGTATCGTGGCCTCTGTGTTGTGATACGTATCGTATCGTGACATTGCTGGTGATACACAGCCCTAGTGTTGTAGCTGTGTTTGCATTGCTTCTATACATAGCAAATAAAACAAGCATGTAATTCAATTATGTTATGTTGTATTTCAAGAGTACATGCATCTATGAACAAATGAACAAACTGTACTGCAATAACAGCTGGGATCATTTGTAATGAACTGCATCCACTGTGTAAAAATAGGAGAAACCTAAAAACCTAATACAAGAACAGCAGTCCAACTGATACAGTAATTTAACAGCAATTCAACTGATTCAATGTCCTATATACACTATCTTTTACACTATACCGTGAGAAAATCAAAGGGGGTTAACAGACAGAAAAAGCAGCACAACACTTTGGGTGCCCCCTAGTGGTAAAACACCTTCTCATTCACAAGAGCAGGGCACAATAAGAGGGAGAGAAAGGGTTTACATAAGAGTGGCTTAATATGTGATGAAAAAAATCACAGGTGATCATTCAAAAATGCTTATTCACTGTCAAAAGAAAAATATTTAAATGCATACACAAAAAGATTAATCATCTTTATGTCCATTTTATTCTAGTTATATACTTTTTAATTAAGTAATTATTAATTGATTAATTAATTAATTATACAAATGTATTAAAAATAATATTATTAAATCACACATGAAAGTAAAGAAAAGCTTGAGTTTAGTGTCTGGTGTGCCACTAAAAATTAAATGTTTTCAGGATGTGGTCAGAAGTGAACATACATACATCCTATGTGAAGCACACACCCCACCCACAAACAGCTTACACACACACAAGATTCTACAAATAAAACAATGAGCAGGAGTATCAGAAGACAACGAGTAAAGGAATCAGCATCATGTCTGTGCAAGGGGACTTCACAATCTATTCCTCAGGAGTCAATGATACAGGCAGTAAACAAAGGTACACTGATTTGCATCTTACACTTTCTCACTGGAGGGATTACGGTAATAATAATTATTTTTGTTTCAGCAGCATATGCTTTACATTTCTGTTTTAAGCTTGTGGGTTGGTAGGTTATTTTGTGTATTTCCAACCAACATATTAGACCACAGCAGGTTAGAATTTTGATTTGTTTGTAAGACATAATTTTTCGTTATTGACCAGTAAGTGTAAAAATGTATTCTGTGGCTATACATGACCAAATTTTCGAAGGGATAAATCAGTATCGTTCATTTAAAAATGAGTCAACCACGACCCAAGTCAAACTTTGTTCTTCAACCATGTACGTACACAGAGAAAGCAAATGGCCTTTTGTTTTACAACTACTTATGCTACAGTACATTTTCAACAATTATATAAGTTGTCAGAACACTTGCAAAAACAAAAATGCCTGACCTGCATCGGCCAGTTGGTTCAGAGATGTTGGAGAAGGGAATCAGTTTCTCACTCTTCTATCCAAAACAGTGGTTGATAATATTCAGGTCACATTTTAGCAGTGATGTGTGTGATTAATTTTGTCAATTGCACTTCTATGTGGCCGTTTTTTGTGGAAACAGGGTCTTCAAGGTGAATATTGGGGTTTGGTGTCATTTTGCTGCATTAGCTCTATGTTGTTTGAACACAATTCTTCTTAGTGCTTGACGGTCGCTATCATTCACTTTTGGTTTTCACCCACTATTCTTCTTTGCTGATGCAGTCTTGCCATGCTTTGTGTCTACAATCATAATTATAAAGGCTGTTATTCTTAAAACACCAAACAATTGGGCTAAGGTTATAGCAGTTTTTTTTTTAGGATTCTTTAATGAATAGAAAGTTCAAAATAACATCTAATTTGAAACAGAAATGTTCTTTATCCTTATAAATGTGTTTACTGTCATTTTCTTCAATTTACTGCATATTGCTTCATTAAAAGGTTTATTTTTTTGTTCTTACCCAAAACTTTTGAAGTATGATGGTTTCCACAATAATATTAAGAAGCAAAAGTTGGTTTCAACATTGTGAAGATGACACAGTAAAAAAAGAAATGTTTCTTGAGCACCAAATCAGCATATTAGAATGATTTCTGAAGGATCATGTGACACTGAAGACTTTAAAAGTATTAAGTAATAGAAGTATAGAAGTATTAAGCAATTTTTTTTCCCAGTTTAACACGTTAAAAATATTTAACACAATTAATGCAGCATCCATTTTTTCCTGGCATCCTTTGGTTACAGTTACAGTAGACTATATAAACATGCTATCAAGCATGATAAGAGACAAAAGAGAAGTTAATTCGGTACTGGTGTGCAGCCTGTTAAGAAGCTCCCTCTGTGGATAAACGCGCTTGCTTTCTGAAAACACTGGTTAGCTTGCAGTTTAGCGATCTCCACTTCAATATTCTATTCTCAGAAAAGTGTAATTCATCAAGTGTTCATTTATGAGAGCGAGAGAGAGGCTTTGTATGTATGAATTACCACCGTTTTGCCGCATTTCTCTATTAACAGTGAAGCTGTGGCTTTAATTCCTGTAGAAACAATAATGTTACCAGCTCCTTGTTGAGAAAGATAATGTAGCTCTTGAGCGATTAAGCTATTAAGTTGATAAAACTGTGGGGGCTAAAAAGTTTGTTCCTGAATGTCTGAGTGATCTGTGTGTGTGACTAAGCATGTGTGTGCGTTAGATA